GCCCCCAGGACTACAGGGTAGTACCCCCAGAGTCCCACAGACATCCCCACAGATCTAGCACCCCCAGAGCCACCCCTGATCCCCCACGTCCCTAGGTTTGGGGCCCAGGTGGCTGTTCTAGGCCACAGACTGAGTCCCAGGTCTCGAGGACCGGTGCGGGTCGGCTTGTAGAGCCCCGGTGTGGGGCCCTGGGCTCGCCTGGGCATTTTGGAACAGATAACCCTCCCTGGGTAGAGGGAATGGATCTCTCTCCCTCAATCAGGGAGGGGTTTGACTGTCATAACCCCACCAAAAAAGACAATACAGGACACGGAACACGTCCCGGCACAGTCACGACAGGAGCATTCATCGGCACCACCTCGCCTGTCCCACTGAAGAAGACGGCACGTGGCACTCGGCGAGCGGGAGGGCCACCCACCCGTTGGAAGATTGACACTGCTGACAGCGTGCTGGACCGTGCAATGAATGTGCTTCTCTGCAAATACAGCGTGGGTCTTCCCCTGGGGACGCCGGGCCTCCGTCACGCCTCTCCAGAGCCTTGAGTCTTATTTCCCTCTCGCGCTAAATGTGGGTGATGCACTATCTTGACAAATCGACACTCTTCTGTGTTCGTACGATATTGTTCCCTGAAATGTCCTCTGCGTTACACAGGCGCACCCCCATAGACATATGGACACACCGGAGGGAGGGGAGTACACACGGGTTCATCTTCTACATTACTTCCTTTTGAGATCCCTACTAGCTAAAAAATTTGAGAACCACTGATCAGTGATAGATACACACATATATATAATATATATTTAATCAAGAGGTATATTTCTTTGCACGTGTCTTGTTGCAAAAAGCCTTCCGTCACAACAGCTGAAGGGCACACGGAGGAAGACCTCCTCCCAAATAGGTGATGGACCCTATGCTCTGGGCCGTGACTTTCTGTCCAGCTCTTTGCAGAGCCACCAGGACCTCCGCCTTCCTCAGGCTGCAGGTGAGAAGGTTGAAGGCAGGCACCAGAAAAGAGCCACTTGCCAGTCCCAAGCTAGGGTAAACTGGAGGCTGAGCAGGAGGCGAACGCTCATTAAAAGCTCGGTGTCTTGGGAAACGAGGACTGGAAGATCCCCGAGTGGCTGAAGACGCTAGCCCTTCCTCTTGCCCGATGCGCCTTAAGCAGGAGCTGCTGGTTCCGGCACTGGCTGCAAGAACTCGGCCAAGAAGCCTCCCTGTGCATCCCCCCGTCCTCGTCAGCGCTGGGGGTGCCATCCTTCGTGCTTGGCTAGCTGGGTCTGCTCCAGGTCAGCTCCCAACTTCCCCCACCCCGCGGGGTACCCTTTTGCGTACTAGCTCACGGTCAGCGCCAGGCAAGCTCGTTTACCGGAGGAGACGCTGAGGATATGGAGCCATCTCGGCGCCTGTGTCTACGCTGGCATACAGTGGAACCCGTGAGGATTCACACGGGCGTTTGCTTCTTGGATCTCGACTGTGCAAGTCCACGGGGCCGGAGAGGCCGCAGCCCAGGGCGCTGGGAGAACCGGCTGATGCTCTTGCAGAGCTGCTGTCGGCTTTGAGACGTCGTGGTGACTGGGGGAGAGCCTTCGCGACTGGAGGAAAGCGAGTTTTGCACCATTGTCAAAAAAGGATCAGATGACCCGGGGCAGCTACAGGCCAGCCAGCTTCACTTCAGTCCCCCGGAGAAAACAACAGGGAATGAGTCCTTTTAGAAGGCACGGCAGGTGGAGGAGAAGAGCTGTCATCGTGGAGTTACAGTGCCTGAAAAATGTGATTGCTTTCTGTGATACGATGACGAGGTTTGATCAGGGCAGAGCAGTGGACGACGTTTACCTTGCCTTCAGCAAGGCTTTCAGTGCTGCTAAGGCATTCGTTTCCAGGAATGCAGTCCACTGAAATATTGATGCCTCTGCTGCGTCGGCCGAATGTTTGATTCTCTTTGTAATCGCTGACAGAAATAGGAACTTACCTGGACTAACTGGAACCCTCTGTCTTTCTCCATTGCTCACAGATGGACGTGATGGCCAGTACAATTTACGTGCCTCAGTTTATACATCTAAAATTAGGTGATGTGAACCCCAGTTCATGTGACTTCCTAACAGAACGCGCTGGCGTTCATCCTCGACTTGAAACCGCTTTGTAACTGGGCAGGGTTAGTTTCATACGTTTATTTTCCAAATACAGAGGGCCAAGCTGATAACGTAATTTCAGCCAGGAACTCCCCCGTCACGCCAGAAGAGCTGGATGTCAGCAGCTGGTTTTCTCGTGCCGTGTAGATAGGATGTTGAAGCCCACACCGCGTACGCAGTGACTCCACCGCTCCTTTCTTCACTCGGTACAGTGCTTCTCGTGTCTCAATTAATAATCATATGCATAACAAAAGGGGCTTAATTCAATTGCCCGCACATCATAAGCGTGCAGAGACATTTTAGGTGCTTTGAGGATCCTTCCTTGTCTCCAACTGCTGCTCAGTCAGGTTGAAGGTATCAAGGACGAAGACATCCAATGGGTCTCGTGTGACGTGCGGCAGACTTGCGTGGAGGTCTCGGACACCCTGGGGTACCTCACGTGGCACCAGATGCCAACGTGCAGGCACTGAACGGTGTCCAAATGTGTCCCTGTGAGCTGAGTGCCCAAGCTCCCGTTACAGCTAACGCTCAGTAGTTTAGATGGCGATAGGTCTTACTCGAAACAGCCGCCGTGGTGTAGCCAGCAGGCTCTTTCCAAGCCCGCCTTCACCCTTTCCCCAGGGGATACCGACAGGTTTTGCCCTACAACGGGCGGGGGAGCCCCACCGACCGTTTTGGGGTGCTGACGCCGCACGCCCACGCAGGGCCGTGTGCTGGGATACCTGCCCTGTGCTTTCCTCGGGCGCAGGCTGGGCGCGGGGGGAGCACCGAGCCCTGCCCTTTCCCCAGTCCAGGAAACCCGCCTGTGAGTGAGGGCAGCGGGGGACTGCTCCTCCCCGGTCCACCCCTGAAGAACAAAAGGGGAGCTGCTTCTGCAGCCTCTAGAAAAGATCCGTCTCTACAAATAAATGCATCGATACGACCAGCAGTTACATCTCACAGAGAGATGAACAGAAGCAAAAGCTATCCACTTGGCTTTTCGTCCCTGCATCATCTTTACAGGAGACTGACGGGTCTCCTGAACGTGTTGCTATCGCAGCTCCCCTCAACTCCCCACACAGAAAGCCTCGGGTCCCCTTTGGGGAGGGTCCCAACAGCCTAAAGATAACATTTCCCCGATTAAGCAGCTGTCCTTTTTCATTTAGCAGCCATTAATCCCCCCTCCAAGTGCGGTGGCATGAACGACGACCGTTTATTTCACATCTGTGTGTGCCGGACCGGCTTGGCCGATTCACATCTGGGATCCCCCTCCCCGTTTT